ACAGGCCTGGCTGCAGGGGCTATGACCTGTGCAGTGGCAGAGGGACCCTTACGCTCAGCTGTTGATTTAACTCTGTTGCTATCTTGAAAGTCTTCATCCTTTTGGAACAGGGAGCCCCATTTTACTTTGCACTGAGTGCCTGATTCTGGGACTGGGGCTCTGAGGCGCTCATGAGGTGGACCCCTCTCTGCAGGAGTCCCAGAACTCATAAAGGGGCTTCAGAAATGAGCAGCCGAACCACAGACACCCCCAGGCCAGGGCCACCCTCTCCAGTATCTGTGCCCGGGTGTTGGGCTGCACCCATGGCTGTGCTAATAGGGGTTGGGGGGACCCCACATGTGCACACACGGCCATGCAGTCACACGTGCCACAGCGGCTCACCCCACGCCCGCAGTTCCAGCACTGGGAGTAACTGGAAGACCTCTCCATGCCCCCCATCACCCCTAAGATAATGAGACAGCAGGGAGGGCAGGAAGAGCTGAGGAGGGGCTGTCAGGGACAGAAGGAGAGCCCTTGCCTCCCCCATCTCCCAGGAAAGAAGAGACCCCCCTCCCTCACCCTGATGTCAATCTCCCAGGAGCTCCCTGCAGGGCCCTGAGAGGTGTGCTTCTTGTCCCCTTCAAATCCCACTGCCAGCCAGAGATAGCATCTGTATCACACCCATTTTAAGGATGGCAAAACTGAGACTCCAAGAGGCAAAGGTGCTGGCTGGAACCAAGATGAGCAGACACGGGAGCCCAATGCCCCATAGTGGCTCCCGGGAGAGGACCCGACCCTTGGACCCCTGGGCCCCCAGTCGGCCCGCCCCTCCCCCTACCCATTCCTCTGCCCACACTGGTTCATGGTCACGGCGGTCCCCCCTCCTCAGCCTGCACACACGTCCCTTCCTCATTGTAGGCACAGGTGGAGGGCAGGTCACTGCCCAGGGACCCTCAGTGTGCTCCTGAGCCCCCGCCCCCTTCCCAAACCCCTTGGTCAGCCTTGCCCTTTTGTCCCAGAGACCAGGCATCAGGAAGGGGCTGACTGGTGGGCAAGCAACATCCAAATTGGAACACCCTGGGGGATGCAGGAGTGGAGTGGGGTCCTGGGAGGGATGGGTCATTTCTTGGCCTGGTTCGGGGGCTCCCGTTCCAGCTCCAGGAGTCCCAGGAAGGTTTCTCCACCGACAAGTTTCCAGATGGAACTTTCCCAGAGGTTCTGCATGGCAGTGCTTCTGGAGGGGATCCGGGACTGTCCACCTGGACTTCTTAGGGTGGGGCTCTGCGTTGAGCCGAGGGGACCACAGTGCACAGTGTTTGCTGGGCAGGCAGGGCAGCACGGGAGGAGAGATGACAGGCAGGCCTGCTGCTGCCTGCCCAGCTGCCGGCCTCCGAGCCTGGCCAAGCCCAGCTGCCCTGGCCTTATTTGGTAAGAGCCTGTGCTGGCCTGGCCGCGCCGGCTGCCAGCTGATGGGACACCCAGAGCCCTGCGCAGGCCTGTGTGCACACCAGGCCTGTCACCCAGCTCCTTGGCCAGAGGTGGCCGATTTGGAGGCGGGAGATCCCAGGGTCAGGCCAAGGCTGTGGCAGCTTCCATCGGATCCCAGCCCGGGGTGGGACAGGGATTCCCTGGCTTTTGCCTATATAAGGCCGAGGAGAGGCAGCGGAGGCTGAGCGGCCCGAAGGCCCCGGAGGTATCGGCTTAAGAGGGTGTTTGGCATCGGGCGCAAGGCCTTGGATTCTTGTAAAAACCTGGCAGGGAAATTGTTTGACAGCTTTGACAATGTGCTGAAGTCTCGGAGGGGAACCCGGCCCCTGGAGCGGGCTGGCCAAGGGCATGTGACGCTTCAGCTGCCTCCAGGCTGAGAGCTTGGGCAGCCAGGCCAGACCCACCGCCCGAGGAGAGGCCAGCCCTGGGCAGTGGTGCCCAGGAGAGGGCAGTGGGAGTGGCCCCTAAGCTTGGCTTCCTGGTCTGTGTGGAGTGAAGCAATGCCCACTGCCCAGGGGGTCCTGAGGGCTCAGGGAGGTAACAGTGTGGGGGGTGCCCCCAGGGTGCCATCACAGAGCTGCCAGGCCCCTAGTCCTGCTTTGTGCCAGATATGCTGAACAGACTTTGTCTCTGTTCCCTCATTCATGCCTCACGGAGACCACAGACTCAGACACTCTTCTCATGCCTGCTGACAGATGGGGAAACTGAGGCTCAGAGGAGGAAAGGGATTTAAGACTCTGGGCTCTCTCCAGCCCACTGGGACCTGCACAGGCCAATTCTTCCACTCCAAGACCACATCCTGAGCTTTGATTGGGTGGGGCACCATCCCAGGCCCAGGACAGCTGCTCAACAGCCAAGAGATGACCCTCTCCAAGGAGACAGATATTCTTTCAACTAAGAGGGACAGAGAAGGCCTCTCTGTGAAGTGACCTTGAAGCTGAGGCCCAAAGATGACAGAGGGAAGAGCACTGTGCTCCAGGCAGAGGAAACAGCGCTGGCAAAGGCCCCGGGGCAGGGCGAGGCCTGGCTCAATCTAGGGCAGCTGGGAGGCCTCAAGGCTGGAGCAGAGTGAGCAGTGGAGCTGGGAGATTCGGTCCTAGATCACAGGTGCTTCCAGGGTCTGTGGGGAGTCGAGTTTTATTCTGAGTGGTGGGAAGCTGGATTTGAAACCGGAGCCCTAATAATGTGATCCTCCATGAATCCCATGTCTGCATCTACTAAGTGCTCTATGCTCATTTTCTCACCCAGCTCCCCACCCCTCATGACTGAGGGGAGCAGTCTCTATCCTCAGTTTACCAAAGAGGAAACTGAGGCTCCCAGAGTCAGTGCTGCAGACGGGGACAGGGCCCCTCCCTCGGTTCTGTCTGGTGCTGGAGGGCAGCACCCCGCCCAGTGGCTGATCCTGGGCCTGACCCCCTGCTGTCCCTTCTACCGCCCTCATCGCCCCACTCAGGTTTCCTGCTGCCATGGTGACCAGCTCACCCGGCTTTGCCCGGGACTTTCCCAGTTTTAGAACTGAAAGTCAGGCTTCCCAGGAAAGCCCTCAATTCTGGGCAAACTCAATGCTTGGTCACCAGGCCTGGCCAGCACCACCAGGAGCTCAGGGAGAGGAGAGAGGTGCCCTCCCCACCACCGCCTGGCCCCATACCACCTCTGCCCAGACCGGGCAGGGACGTGGAGAGGAAGGCAAATAGCAACCAGTGCCCAGTGTGTGGCCCAGCCCCACCTCCTGCCAGCACCTGGCAAACACCTTCTGCGAGGGGGTCATCGGGACAAAGGGAGGGCAGGGTGGGGGTGGGGATGGGAGGGCAGAGCAGGGTGGGGGTGGGGATGGGAGGGCAGGGTGGGGGTGGGGAGGGAAGTGGGAGATGGAAGAGTGGGAGGGCAGAGCAGGGGGTGGGGAGGCAGGGGCAGCCAGGGAAGGAAGGAGCTGGAGGAGCGGGAGCAGCCCCGGAACTGGTCACACCAGGAGAGCTCTTCCTCCAGGGGGACAACACAGGCCTGCCTTTGAACCCACAGGCTCTGCGACCCTGAACATCTTCTGTTGCTTCTTGGTTGCCCAGCCTATACCATGGGAGAGCAACAATGGCCAGCAACAGCCAGGAAGCTGCCGGGTGCCAGGCTCCGGGCTAAGAGCTGTGCTGGCCACCACCTCCTAGGAGGCACAGGCACCCTGGGGAGGAAAGGCTTGCTTCTCTGTGCCGACAAGGAGCAAATTCCAGAGAGGTGGAGACTGCCTTGGGCCACACAGCTGCTCACCCACCGTAGGGCAAGAGTCTGAGCCCAGAACCACCAGCTTCAGTTCCTGCCCAGTGCGGGAGGCAGTGTTCGCAGGGTACAGGCAGGGCCGGCTCTTGGAGGGCTCCCCTCGAGGCTGCACCAGCTGTAGATCCCTGGGCCCCCTGCAAGCTGTCGAGCCTTCCTGGGCCTGTTTCACACATAGAAAGCAGGGCTAACAGGGATACCCACCTCGTAGGGTTGGCTATTTACTCCACAAATATTTATTAGGCATCAACACGGTTGTAGATCTTGAAGATACCGCAGAGAACAAAAGAGACAAAAATTCCCGCCTAGAGTTTATAATCTGAGGTGGGGAGATGCCGACAAAAAAGTAAATATTTGTCGGTGGAAGGCACAGAAACTTTTTTTTTTTTTTTTTTTACTTAAATGTTTATTTTAGCCCTCTGGGAGGACGAGGCCAGTGGATCACTTGAGGTTAGGAGTTCGAGACCAGCCTGGCCAACATGGTGAAACTCCATCTCTATTAAAAATACAAAAAGTAGCTTCACATGGTGGCACATGCCTGTAGTCCCAGCTACTTGGGAGGCCAAGGCTGGAGAATCACTTGAACCCGGGAGGTGGAGGTTGCAGTGAGCCGAGATTGTGCCACTGCACTCCAGCCTGGGTGACAAAGCAAGATTCCATCTCAAAAAAAAAAAGAAAAAAGAAAGAAAGAGAAAGTATAATACTCTAATACACACTGTTCAGCTATCCCTAAAACATGATTTTACTAGATGTGAATACATAGTGTATCCACCTGCGTCTAAAACAGGTCAATCTATCAACAAATTTAAATGAATTTATTGATACTATTTATATAAAATTCTAGGAAAGTCAAAACTATAATGACAGAAAGTAGATCGATGGTTGGTGGTTGATGGGTGTAGGAGCTGGAGAAATCTCACTTTCAAAGGGCATGAAGGAGATTTTAGGATGAAGGAACTCTTATATCTTGATTGTGGTTACATACTACATACAATCACCAAATTCACATAACGCTACCCTTAAAATGAATGGTCTTATATATAAATAATACCTTAATTTTTCTTTCTTTCTTTCTTTTTAATATCTTAATTTTTCTTAAGTAAAAATACAAAGCTAAGAAAAAAAGTTTAGGGGCCGGGCGCAGTGACTCACGCCTGTAATCCCAGCACTTTGGGAGGCAGAGGGCCAGTTTGGGAAGCTGCAGTGAGCCAAGATTGCACCACTGCACTCCAGCCTGGGTGACAGAGTGAGACTCTGTCTCAAAAAAAAAATTAAATAAATAAATACATAATGTTTATTTTAAAGGGAAATTCTGTGGCACCAATGTCAATGGAAATGCAATATCACTTGCTTTGCAGACGACTCTGAAAATAAGCACAGCAAACATCAGTCATATTTAGTACTGACCAGAATTTCAGATGCCGTCACAGCGTGTTCATGTTCCCACCACCTGCCCACACTGGGAGCCTGGGGCCTGCTTTCTCAGATGGAGAGGGGGCTAAGGAGGAGTTGGCCAGTATTTAAGACACACGAGCCCCCAGCTCAGCCGAGAAGGAGAGAGCAATCACTGAAGAGGAAACGCCATGCCCCTGGGCACCATGCCTGCCATGCAGGACATCCTGTGGACTTCGATGGCCGGGGTCCCATTTCTGGCACATTCATCCAGGCCAACCCCATTCTTTGGAGTTGGGGAGGCTGGACCCCAAGAGCAGAGGTCACATCAACACCCATACCAGCCTCAGACGCGTCCCCAGGGCGTGTCTCCCCTTGTCCCCTCCTCACAGGCAAGAGATCCCCAAGCTCTGCCCTGTGCCAAGGGCATCTCCGAAATTTCACAGCTACCTTTATGTGGCAGGTGCCTGGAGCTGGAGCTAGCCTTCCAGCACCTACAACCCGGGCATCTTCCCAGAGGGAAACACTGTGTTTAACGGCATCAGTTCAACTGTCCAACTCCCACGAAGGCAGAGTAAACGGTCTGACTCCGTTCCCGGGCAAACACAAGCGTATGCACCAATCGGTGTGTGGGCTGGGCCTGGCCACCGACACAGGTCTCTGGGGATGGCGGCTCGCCCGCATTCCAGAACCACAGGCTGGGGCATGCCTGGCGGGCGGCAGGCCCTTTACCACCAGGCAGAAGGGAAAAGAAGCCCTTTGTCTTGGGGTCACATCCCAGTGTTGGCACATCCCCAGGAGCTGCGGTCACCTCCTCTTTAGTGGACAAGGTTGCCTTCATGTTGCTAAGAAACAGCTTGGAGGGAGGGGAACCCAAGCTCCAGGTAGGGCTGCCTGGGTTTAGACCTCAGCTCTGAGCCCCTGAGTGGCGGTGGAGGAAAGGCTGGCCTCTGCGTGTCCCCTGCTTATTGTAAAATGAGACACTCATAAAGCACAAATCACAGAGCCGTGGAAAGGATGAAAGAGCTCATGTGAGCGTGGCACCTCACATAGTGTGCATGCTCCACAACAGTGAGCAAGGGACGTCTGGGTTTTTTCTTTTTTCTACCTCTCATTTTTAATAACCCACTGTGAACACTTTTGCCGCTGAGGGTTATTTCCTTGCAGAACCCCGCCTCAAGACGATGTGTGGGGTCGGGGGTTCATGTAGCTTCGTGGGGCTTGTTCCATGCAGACAGAAGCATCTTTGAGATCAGATCTGTTTACAGCAAAGGGATGTGTTCTTTTCCCTGCATCCTTTGCAGCACTGGGCTTTATCATTTTATCCATTTTTTTTTTCTAATTTGATCAGCAAGGCTGGCCATTCTTCCATGTACCAGTTAACTGGCCATATTTTCTCAGGGATGAATGGTTGTTCACCACCTTTGATTGTTTTCAAGTGTGTCTGGGACAGTGCCTGGTGCTGTCATGGAGCTGGCCAGCCCACACTGGAAGCATCTTTTAAGTAGGAAGAGGAGGGAGGGTCTTGAAGCTGGGGGAGATGGGGAACCCTCCCATGCGATCCCCACCATCCCTGCCTTCCCTTCATCCTGGGTATTTTGGAGCCTGCCAGCTGAGGAGTGCTCTCCCAGGATCAGGACTGAAGAGCGCCGAGGCTGGAGAGGAAGAGGCGTGATCACTGATTCTGTTCCAGGCAGTGAGGCAGGCGTATGCCAGGCACCTTTCCTGAACCCAGCAATGCTCCTCCCCTGTCCCTGGCTCTCCTGGGAACCCCTAATGAGGTCAGAATAAGCCACTCCATCAATGTATGATCCTCAGATGACTGTGTCCCTTTGCTCCTTAATCATTCAGGTGTCCAGATTCTCTAATAGCAAGAAGCCCAGAGCCCCCTTCTCCAGTCCTCTCTCACGTTAAATCTTCCAAGGACCCCAAAGTCTTTCTTAACCCACTGCTGGGGGTCGGCTGCCAAAGGTCTCTGCTGCCAGGTGTCTTGCCACCACATGAGGACACCGCTGAAGATGCACGCAGAGCAGTCCTGCAGACACTGTGTGCTGGGCAGGGGAGCCCACACCACCTTTGCCTGGGCATTGGAGGTCACCCACACTTGGGACCTGAGTTTACAGCTCTCATGGGTCACTCTTAAATACTCAGAGCAGAATGCCAAGTGACTCCCCGTGCACCCTCCATGCACCCGGCACCCAGGACCTGGCCCGTCACCCCCTCTATCGCCGTCACTCTGGTCACAACCTCCTCCTCCTGCTAGGCTGGGCTTTCTCAACCGCAGCCCCTTTGACATTTGGGGCAGGATCTTTCTCCGCTGTGGGGATCATCCTGGACATGGCAGGATGCTTGGCAGCACCCCTGGCCTCTGCCAACCAGGTGCCTGTAGCACACCCACCATTATGACAACAAAAAATGTCTCCAGACACTTCCAATGTCCCCTGTGGAGAAGAACTGCCCCCAGTGGAGAGCCACTGCCCTAGACTACTGGGACAGCACCCTCCACGCCGGCCTGGACTCCCTCCCTGGCCCCTTTCTTGACACCACAGCAGGGGTGAGCTTTTAAAAACCCACACAGCTCGTGATGCATGTCACACTAGGTTCAAAAGCATTGGGTGGTTTCTCTTGATATTTGAGATCCACAGCTGTGCCTCGGCCCCGGGCCCTGCAGGCTGACCTCACCCCTGCCTCCGGCTTGCCTGGCTCCCGCCACACCAGGCACAAGAGCCAGGCCTCTGACGTTGGCACCCTCCGTCCTCTCTGCCTTAAGCTCTGTTCAGTCTCTCCCTGCATTCCAGGTCCTTTCACATCCCAGGGGCCCGCAGAGGCCCTGGACCCTGCCCCTGGTGTCGCCCCTTTCTGCCCTGCCTCTCAGTCCATCTGCCTGATTTATGCCTTCATTGCCCTTCCTTAGGTATCTATCTGATTTCTGTTCTACTACTTTTTAATTTATTTGTATTGATTTACTTCTGTCATCCCCATTAGACTGTCAGCTCCGTGAGGGCAGGGGCCTGTCTTGTTCCCGGCCATACCCCAGAGTCTAAAACAGCACCTGGGTTGTGGGAGGCACCCAGGAAACACCAGGTCCATGAAGGAATGAATGAAATGGGCGTGGGCTTCTCTTGAGTCTGGGAAATTGGCCTTGTCCCCACATGGCTGTGGAGCTGTCGTAGGGAGGCTGGAGCCACCGTCCTGTGGGCCTCTGTGGGCTCGAGAATCCGACACTCAGCCTAGGACCTGCAGGCTCCGTGCCTCCAGCTCTTGGGAAACAGGTGGAAACTTCCTTCCTGAGGGCCGGAAGAAGCCGCAGACCCCGCCACACCCAGTCCTGGCCCAGCTCGAGGCGAGGTCCTGGGTCTAAATATAGAAAGTGGGTTGTGAGAGGGAGGGTTTCTTCTCCGATAAGAGGAAGTCGCTGGTCTGATTAAAACCAGGGGTTTGTTCACCCCTCATTGAGACAGTCCTCCCCACAGCCAGGAGAAAGGAAATGTGGCAAAATGACCCCAGGCGATGGGGCCCTCCAAAAAGCCTGGGAGAAGGCACTCAGGAGGCAGGTGGTCTCTGACTGCTCCCTGGGGGACGGCTGGGAACCCTGCTCTGAGACGCAGGGGCTGTGACTTCCTGAGCCAACCCTAGTCACTCTGGGTCTCAGTTTGAATAAAAAGGGACCAGCCAGATTTGATTTTCAAAGCCGGTGTTACCTGGTATTGCCTGAATCAGGAGCTCTCTGAGTCTCAGTTTCCCCATCTGCAGAATGAACATGACTGTAACAGACGGCTGGCAGGGGTCAAGGAGGTAGTGTGTGTGGCCAGCCTAGGACAGAGCCGGGCACATGATGGGGGCTCCAAAGGTGTGCGCTGCTGGCAGATGTCCACATGAAGTTTGGGATCCCGGGCAGAATGAATGCAGAGCTCCTTGTTGAAACTTTACCAAGAATTTCAAGATGGCCTGGGCGCAGTGGTTCACACCTGTAATCCCAGCACTTTAGGAGGCCAAGGTGGGTGGATCACTTGAGGTCAGGAGTTCGAGACCAGCCTGGCGAACATGATGAGACCCCCCTATCTCTACTAAAAATACAAAAATAAGCCAGGAATGGTGATGCAACACCCATAATCCCAGCTACTTGGGATTCTCCTGAAGCAGGAGATTCTCTTGAACCTGGGAGGCGGAGGTTGCAGTGAGCAGAGATCATGTCCATGGGTGACAGAGTGAGAGCTCTGTTTAAAAAAAAGAGAAAAAAATTTCAAGACAGTTAACAGCAGAGCATGAAACCCCGTACAGGGCACTTCTGACCCCTGCGTGACTGTCCAGCTGCCATAACTAGGGTGATTTCTATCAGAGGAGCCTCAGGGAGCCCACAGAGCAGTGTGCAGCCCCCAACGTGGCCTTTTCACAGCCCACCCGAAGCCCAAGTCCACCCCTCCCCGCCCCCACCTGCTGCCCTGCTGTGGTTCCATGGATGGGCCCATTTCAAGAAGGTGATGAAAACAGTAAAAGGTGATGATGCCCAAATGCCAGTCCTCTGGGTACAGGTGTGACAGGGCTGAGCCCTGGGGTGGGTGGGGGCTGCTATTCCAAGAATGGGCCTCACCTGTACCCCTCCTCCCTGGACCTCAACTGTCATCAGTGGAAAACACAAAACCAAAGCACGGCGCACAGTGCAGCTCATCCACGGGGGAGACATGCAGCTCATCCATGGGCGGGGTGCTGTGCAGCTCATCCACGGGAGACATGCAGCTCATCCACGGGGGAGACGTGCAGCTCATCCACGGGAGACATGCAGCTCATCCACGGGGGAGACATGCAGCTCATCCATGGGCGGGGTGCTGTGCAGCTCATCCACGGGGGGGCCGCGCAGCTCATCCACGGGAGACATGCAGCTCATCCACGGGGAGGCCATGCAGCTCATCCACGGGGGGGCCGCGCAGCTCATCCACGGGGGAGCTGTTACACCGACGCACACAAAACTGTGGTCCTACAAATTGCTGTAGCCATAAATATGCTGGTGGAGCCAGGCGTGGTGGCTCACGCCTGTAATCCCAGCACTTTGGAAGGCCAAGGTGGGAGGATCACTTGAGGTCAGGAGTTCGAGAACAGCCCGGCAACATGGAAAAACCCCGTCTCTACAAAAACTACAAAACAAATTAGCCAGGTGTGGTGGCATGCGCCTGTAGTCGCAGCTACTGGGGAGGCTGAGGCACTTGAACTCGGGAGGGGGAAGTTGCAGTGAGCTGAGATCGCACCATGGCACTCCAGCCTGGGCGACAGAGTGAGGCTGTGTCTCAATAAATAAATAAATAAATAAATAAATACGCAGGTGCAAGCCCAGGCAGGGGAGGCAACGTCTGCCCCACTCAGCCCTGAGCTTGACTCTGAGGAGCCAGGACAACAACACAACTCAGCTGCGTCTGTAACACTTTATTTCTTAAAGAATTAAAAAAAGAAAGAGAGAGATTAGTGACAAAATATGACAAAATCTTAATTATGTGTCATTCTGGGCAGTAGGGGTTTGTTTTATTCTTCCCTGAAGTTTTCTGTAACTTTTCGTTTTACAATGTAGATTTTGCTAAAAAAAAAAAAAAAAAAAAAAGCCTGCGAGCATGTGGACTAGAAGATAACTGTTCTTTTACTGACATCCGTTAAGGTGCCCAGGAAACAAAGCATTAATTGAATGCCTACTGTGTACCTGGCACAGGGCTGGGTTCCAGGGAAATAAAAATGGGCATGCCCCCTCCAGGAGCCCAGCAAGGTCAGAAGAAGAGGGCACCAGCGCCAGGCTGGGACCTGCACGAAATCACCTCCTGGGTGTGGGGCTCATGTTTTCCTATTTTTATGGGAAAGCCGATCTCAGGTATTTTTCTCCTTCTGCAGAAGGACGGCTGGAGCCTTGCAGGAATTTGCTTTCGGACACCAAGGGCTATTGTGTGAAGGTGGCATCCGCAGGTACATTCAGGCATGGCTATAGGTTGGGGGAAAGCTCCCGCCCACCCCACTCCACCCCGGAATCCCCAGCCACCACAGAGCCCCTTCAATGAACCAGAGGCATCGCCTTGAATTTTCAGCAGCTTTTGAAGGTGGGCGCAGGAGTCTGTACCCTTGAGTGTGGAAGTGGCCTCAGCTGGAGCTGCTGCCCTCCTGGGAGCTTCAGCAGCCTCCCTGGAGATGACTGGCAGAGGATGCACCAGGCAGGGCCAACCAGCCCCTTCCCGGGGCCCCAGGTTTATCCAGAAGGGGCCAGAGAAGCATTCAGGGTGGGACACGCAGCCCCTCTACCCACCCAGAGCTCCAAGATCTCCTAATTTCCATCTCCTTTGTTTGTTTTAACTTTTTCTTTCAAAATAATTTTAGACTTACAGAAAAGATGCAAAGAGGCCAGGCACAGTAGCTTATGCTTGTAATCCCAGCAGTTTGGGAGACTGAGGCAGGCGGATCACCTAAGGTCAGGAGTTCGAGACCAGCCTGGCCAACATGGTGAAACTCCGTCTCTACTAAAAATACAAAAATGAGCTGGGCATGATGGCGCCCACCTGTAATCCCAGCTACTTGGGAGGCTGAGGCAGGAGAATGGCTTGAACCTGGGAGGCAGAGGTTTCAGTGAGCTGAGATCACACCACTGCACTCCAGCCTGGGTGACAGAGTGAGACTTCACCTCAAGAAAGAAAGAAAAGGTGCAAAGATGGTAAGTACAGAGAGTTCCCATATGACCTTCACCCAGCTTCCTTAATGTCAGCATCTTACAAAACCGCAGGACAATCAGCAACACTAACTCATTCACACTGATGCAATTTTTTTTTTTTTTTTTTTTTTTTGAGACTGAGTCATGCTCTGTCACCCAGGCTGGAGTGCAGTGGTGCGATCTTGGCTCACTGTAGTCTTTGCCTCCCAGGTTCAAGTGATTCTCCCACGTGAGTCTCCCAAGTAGCTGGGATTACAGGCATGTGCCACCATGTCCAAAATAATTTTGGTATTTTTAGTAGAGACAGGGTTTTACTATGTTGGCCAGGCTGGTCTTGAACTCCTGGCCTCAGGTGGTCCGCCTGCCTCAGCCTCTCATAGTGCTGGGATTACAGGTGTGAGCCATCACTCCCAGCTGATACAATAATATTAATCAGACAATAGGTTATATTCAGTCCTCTTCCTGATGTCCTTTTTCTGCTCCAGAATCTCACATCACACTGCAACCGACCAGGGGCTTTTCCTTGGTGTTTCTTTGTCTTTCGTGACCTTGACATAGTGAAAAGTATTAAGCATTTTGCAGAGTGTGCCTCAGTTCAGGTTTGCCTGATGTCCTCTTGTGTTTTAAAATAATATGTAATTCATATTCCACAAAATTCACTCTTTTAAAGTGTGCAATTTAGGCCAGATGCTGTGGCTCATCCCAGCACTTTGGGAGGCTGAGGCAGGAGGA